TATATATATATATTCCAAAAATTGATGTACAGAACTGATCAAACATTAACAGAGTTGAGTTTTAGATCCATACTTTAATAATTTCATGAATTATTTAAATATCTAAGAAGTTCTGAAACCATATTTATGCAAAAACATGAGAAAACTACGTTTTACAAAGTTGTAGCACCATTACGTTAAAAAAAAATTTACATCCGTCTTTATTTTCTTGCAAGTCTGAAGCCAAGCTCATTTTCTTGACATTAGACTGAAGACTTCTCCTCAGCTCTAAGTGGAGGACCACAACTCCGTTTAGCTCCAACATGTACTGTAGGTTGTCTGAGGCTCTTTTGAACCTTTTAGTGAAACTGACGGCCTCAGTTAAGTATCAGGATGATTCGTGCTCAGAAGTGGTCGAGGAGCAAAATCGTTGCTCTCTGAATACTTCTGATGTCCTTGTTGCTGTAAAACATGAAATACCATAACACTTTATTTATAAAGCACTTAAAACAGCAACAAGGCCAACCAAAGTGCTGCACAACAAAAACAAGACAAGCAAAGGATACAGGATAAAATACATAGACCCACAGAGGTAAAGATAAGAAGTAAATGAGTAACATTATAGAATACAGACTAATTAAAATCAGCTTGCAGTGTCAAAAGCCAGGGAGTAAAAGTGTGTTTTTAAGTTAGACTTAAAAACAGTGAAAGAGGGAGCCTGACATGACATGACACTAGTCATTCCACAGTTTTGGACCTGCAACAGTCTCCTCTGAGCTTAAAACGAGTGCCTGGAACCAATAAAAACATCTGGTCTGCTGACGTCAAAGAGCATTGTGGGACATATGGCTGCAGCAGATCAGCGAGATAGGAGGGATCAGAGCTGTTCAGAGATTTAAAAACATACCGAAGGATTTAAAAATGAATTTGAAAGTGAACCGGGAGCCAGTGAAGGGAGGGTAGAACTGGAGTAATGTGCTCTATTTTGCTTGTACCAGTTAAAAATCGGGCATTTTGAACCAGTTGTAAATGAGCGGTGGAGGTGTGACTGATTCCAAAAAGAAGCACATTGCAGGAATCAAGCCTGGATGTTTTGAAAGCATGCATTACTTAAAAATAGATTTCATGAAGCACAAGAAAATGGAGATTCTTTCTCTCGTGTGTTGAACTCAGTTTCATGAGCACTAAGAGATGCGAGCAGATCGTGCAAATCCAGACTTATCGGAAACCTAGTATCATGATCCATGTAGCGTAGAGATAAATGTGCACTCTCAGTTCATGGCAGCGCTTCCATTCATCTGATAACGCCGCCTCCCAGAAACCAATCAGCCGATCGGTGCTTTGTGTTCCTGCGTGCGTTTAATGCCTGAAGGTGCTGCATGTTGAATATAATTAAATGTCACGTCGTATATGTGTTTCTCTGATCAGGTTGTACAAGCTGTGCCAGCCTCCACCCCCAGACGGGGACCCATAATGCATTGCGTTCAGGAAGATGCTGAAGTCTCAAGTTTTCCTTCAGTCAACATGTTAATCTGATTAAATATGCTTTCTGTATGCAGACAATTTGCCTTAAGTGTAAATAAAATGTTACAGTAGTAAATACTATATTTTTTTCTGTACTGTATACTTTTTATGTCTTACGGTGACTCAGAAGCAAAGCGAAGCAGCAAAAGTGAATTAAATTAGCTCAATAAGAAATCCATTCACTGTTTGAATATAATTTTTTTTGTTATGAAGGACGTTTGCATTTGTTAGGTTATATTGCATATGAAGTAAAAAAAAAAAAAAAAATATATATATATATATATATATATATATATTAGGTGTAATTTGGCATATTTGTTAAATTCAGCAGTTTATTTGACTTTTATTTGTATTTTACTTGTCAGTTCGTTCTGTGTTGCTTTAAACTAGTTTTTGTTTTTTTGTTTTTTTACATGATGCTGTAAATATGCATATTGTAGCAAAACTGTAAGATTTATACTGTTGTTTTGGATGTGTAAGAGCGCTACATGCAGATTCTTCATCATTTCTCAGTATTACTGCAGCTGTTTTTGAAAGCTACAGCTACGAGCTTTGTGTTTTTCACCAAACCAGCACTCAGGATTAAAGCGTTTGTGACTCGTGTTTGGATGTAATCCACCACTGTGCAAACAGAGATGATTAAACACACAAATAAGCTCTACTATTCACAAATGCAAGTTTTTAAAATGATTGTTCTTGTTCTGCATATTGCCTTCAAAGCACTAAAACGCTGGCACCTATGCAGTTTGTAAAATATATTAAAGCAGATGAGAGTCATGGACACTGCTCTGTTTTTGTTTTCAGAGAAATGACTTCTGCGTTTCTCAACGATAAATGTAGACATTTTAGGATTTTCTATAATTTTCTCTTTTGGAGGAAACAAAGTATTCAGCTATTTATCCTTTTACTTGCGGAAGGTTTGTGGGAACAGGTCTAGGAGGAAAAATAAAAAAATTCTCTCCCCAGCGACACACTCCCGCTCCTAGAGACTAGAAAGTTTTGGGTTTTCCTTAAGATCTCCTTGTAGGCCAGGCCCAGACAACCTTCTGAGGAAGATGCCTAGGAGGAATCTTATATGGAATCACCTTAGCTGACTCCGATCGATGTGGAGGAGCTGAGTTTCCCCCGTACGATGGAGATCCTCACCTCTAAGGCTGAGCTCGCCATCTTATTTCAGCTGCTTCTATCCAGGCTCTCATAATGAGGATTGGAACATAAACCAGGAAGTCAAAAGTTTTGCTTTTCAACTCTGCTTCTTCACTGCGACAGACCTGAGCATCACCCTCATCACTGAGAACAAGCCCCAGTCTGTCGGTCCGTCTCCTGCTCTGTTCTGTCATCATTTGTGAACGAGATGCTTGAACTCCTTTACTTGTGGCAAGAACTCACTCCTGGGCCAGAGGAAACTTTCTACCTTTCCCCATTGAGAACCACAGCCTCAGACGCACAGGAGCTAACTCTTCCTCGTCAGTGCACGCTGAGTTTCTTGGCTACAATGTGAGGATGAAGGAATGTAGACTTGGACGACAACAGCTGTCCTGCTGTTTGACGTATTGTTTTTATACTACTAGTGCTTAGCATATTTTTAGTTCACTTTGTTCTTAGTTCATGTCTTAGATCTTATTACTGTTATTCTTTTACATTTTATACTTTTGTTGGATGCAACTGGGACCCTGTGTACACAATTATGTTCCACCACATGTACCACATGTGATGTGTAGGACAAGAAACTCTGACTCTTTCAACAGAACTATTGAATAAAATGAATTTTACAAGCTGCGATGGCGTTAAAACATCTCTCAGAAACCAGAGCTCTCAGGAAGCAGGAGACAATGAGCTAAACAGGAAAGAACTGAACTTGAGCAACAGCAACTATAAAGTAGGTTAACAGGGAAGAAACGATGCACAACAGTAGGATTTTACAATAATGACAAGCTGGGAGTATATGGTGGCAGGAGTGATTGCAAACTGGGTGCAGCTGGCTAATTAGTAAATGTGGAACAGGTGAGCAATGTGGAGCTAAAATGACGAAGCAAAGACAAAGTAATGGTAAAACAAATGAAACAGAAATTGCATTTCCTGCAAAAATGCAGTGTGAATACTTATTGCTGAAGAACTTGCTGAGAAACAGCTGAAATTAGCTAAATTTAAAAAAAACATTCTGAACTATAGCTGAATTGGAAGAACAAGCCTAAGTTAGCAGAAGAAAGCATAAAGAACACATATTTGATGAAATAGGTTTAAATAAGCAGAAATTAGCACAAAAATTAGTAAATTTACTATAACAAACGCTTAATTTAGCAAAAAAAAATTCTGAAAAGGCTGAAAGAAGCTTAAACTACCATAAGGAAGTGGAAGGAGCTGAAATTAGCTCAGAAAGTGTGGAATTGGCTGAAAAGGCTAAAGTTTGCACAAAACTAGCTAAATAGTAGCTGAAATAGCAGAAAAAAGCTGAAAGGCGCATAAGCAGCAGAAATGAGCAGAAATTAGTTAATTAGGCTGAACGTGACAGAAATTACCACAAAAAAAATTTAATTTATCTGAAAACCGTTAAAATTAGCTAAAAAATAAAGAGTAGCTGAAAAGGTAGAACAAACTTAAATTAGCAGAATAAAGCAGAAAGATCATGATTGCTGAAAGAAACTAAAATGAGTACAAGAAAGTGTAAATTGTCTGGAAAAAGCTGAAATAAGCAAAAAAACAGCTAAAAAGAAGCTTCAGTTACCAGAAGGAAGTGGAGAGAGCATGGTTTTGCTGAATTAGGCTGAAAAAAGTTTAAATGAGTTCAAAAAATGTGGAATTAGCCGAAAAAGCTAAAATTAGCATAAAACAGCTAAATAGTAGCTGAAATAGCAGAAAAAAATGAAACTTGCATAAATAATCTGAAAAGAGCTGAAATTGGCAGACAGAAGATAGAAGACGCACAAAAATGTTGTATTTAGCAGAAATAATCTAAAGGATCGCAAAACAGCTGAAAAAACCCCAGCTGAAAATAGCTGAAAAAATATTTAAATTTCCACAAAGAAGCTGAAGCAGAACAAAATGAAAGGAGCAGTAAAAAGTTGTAAACGATCTAAAGATTTCAAGGATGTAAAATGAGATCAATTAATTTCCTATGTGATAAAAAGTGGCAGAAAAGGCTAAATATTTCAAAAAGCTAAAGCTGCACCGATACCAAAAGTCACAGCACCCTTCTCCTGAACGAGCTGAACATTTTGCTACATAATTTGTTGAAATTGTACAAAAATTGTGGAACGAGAAAGATGCCGAAAAATGTACGGAAGAAACATAAATCACAATAGTGTGAATGCTTCATGAACATTCACACAACAATTTTAAGACAAGAAAAGTATTATTGTCCCAACTTAAACTACAAAACACAAATCTTTTGGGATCAACACACAAACAAGTCCAGAAAAAAAACATGTTTGAGAGAAATGGGCTTTGATTTGATTAATAAATGAACAGTTTTAAAGTTAAACAGTAATCATGTGATCAGATACTCCGTCTTATTAAATACACTCATCTCTGCCATAGATGTCACATTACCCCCGACACACACCTCATCTGAGCATAAAGTTAGAACAAGAACCCGTTGGATCTTTTTATCAGTCATCTCACGGCTTTCTGAACCGTTGGAGTCTTTTGGGAATGAGCGTGTCTGAAGTGTTTAAAACCATGCAGCCAATCAATGTGAAATCCATCGACGATGTCTTCAAACTAAAGGGGTGAAATTGCATCAAACTACGTGGACAACTGAACACCAGGTTGTAGTTTGTGATGATGAGATCAAAGCTAAAGGTCTAATGAAAGTAATGCTTTGGAGAATATGGGTTTAAAACCGACTCATACAAAAAAAGTTACAAGATACTGTGCAAAAGTTGTAAACACATCTGCTGCCTTTAAAGTTTGCCTCCACGGAGACATTTCTTGTGATGTTTTTAAAGTAGTTTTCATCAATAGATCCCCACAATTTATGAAGCTCTTTAATAGTTTTTTGTTGCGCTTTTGCTGCTGTCTGCACCCGTGTTTAGACTTTTGATCGTTAATGTGATTTTAAATAAATACATGCAAGCAGAATTTAATTAAGCCATTTGGAATGAAGAAGTCAGAGTTTTTGATTTGTTGGAACCAGTGGTGTAGTCTACATTTTTGTAGTGGGTATACTTAGGCCTGTCACGATAACAAATTTTGCTGGGCGATTAATTGTCTCAGAAATCATTGAGATAAACGATAATATTGTTTGAATTTTGACAATAATTAGTCATTATTGTCCAAATTGAGAAGAAATGCATAATTTGTTTTGCTTTTTCCACAACCGGATGGCAGTATAAAACTGTTTGAACCGAAGGATGGCTAGTGAGGGAGCAAGCAGCGTGTCTCTTTAAGAAAACTGGGCGGGAGGCCCCTTGACGTGACATGGGCTGTCTCTTTTCGGTTCACAAAATGGTTCCCAACAGAAGTGCATTGTAGTAATGGAGCCTGGATGTTATGAACACGCTTTTTGGACATTATGGATTTCAATTTAAATGGTTAGCTGGAATCAAAAAGCAGCAAAAGGCTGGCATAAAAACCAAAATGAGAAAAAGGAGCACTAAAAGCTAAAAAAGTCAAAATGTACATAGAAGCAAAAGGCTGAATAAAAGTGTTAAATTAATGCTAAAAGTAGATCAATGCTAAAGATAATAGAGGCTAACTAAAAATCCAACTCTAGCTAAAATCTAAAGCAGCTAAGCAGTAATATGAAGCTAAAAGTCGCAAAAAGTTAATTATAGTGAAATACCTAAAGGCTTGCTAAAAGTAGCCGAAGAGTAGCTAGAAATAGGAAGGCACAAGACAGAGGTTTTTTCCCTGAGGTCGGCCTGTTAGCTCGTAGCTTAGCTTCTCAGCTTAGCTGCTTTTAACGATCCAAAAACTTGATTTTGGAATGGATTTTAAAGCGAAATGGAGGGGTCATTGAAGAGCACCAGAGTTGAGCTTTTTGTCATCTAGTGTCTCCAGTAGAAAGAGAGAGACACGAAGAAACGATAAAGCCGATAAATGAAAATGAAGTCGATAATTTTAATATAACTGATAATAATTGATTTATTGTTTATTGCGACAGGCCTACTGTGCTTAGAAACCAAAGTACACCGGTTAGTACAATGTAATCGTCATTGTATGTAGATTTTTAAGCACATTGAACATTTCCAAATTTCTCTGATGCTTATATTTGAATAAATGAACAACAAACTTTGTACAACAGTTGTATAAAAACATATTAATAGAATTTATAAACCAGTATCAAAGCAAAGCGCTGCATACCAATAGATTGTTACGGAAGCGTTATACCGTTTAACGTATCAATGATACATGTACCACTGGGGACTTTTAATACTGAAATATTAAGCTTTTCTGGTGGGTAGACTCCGTAGACTACACCACTGGCTCAGATTTGTTGAGTAACCAACGATTTAACTGCGTTGTTTTCATTGGGTGCGTACCCGCATAACACAAAGCAAATCAAGATATCTGTGAATCTGCTGTCACTTATAGATCAGGATGATCCGTGTTTCTGTTGCATCTCATGGGTCTCAGTGAGTTCCTTCGCTGGGGGTGGGGTGGATGGGAGTGTCTGTGAGCAGGAGGTGTGCGTCCTCGCTGCTTTCTCCTCAGGAGCCACAGAGTCAGCGGTGTGGGGGTGAGTGGATGGGGAGGTCCCGGGCTCACGCTCCACCATGCGCCGGTTCCAGAACCGCCTGGTCCGCGCTCACCATCTGAACTGATCCCGGCTCAGTTCCAGGGACATTTTTTTTTTTTTAATTCTCCTCTCCTGAAGGACGAATGACTCCACCGGCTCTCCTCCTGCTGTCATCCTGCTAAAAGCTCTTGGCGAGGCACTCCAGCTTCTTTCTTTTTTTTTTTTTCCTCCTCCTTTTCTTCATGGCGTCACCTCAACAGTCCAGGATTCAGTCGTATCTGGAGAAGAATAAAATCGGACCTCTGTTTGAGGTGAGTGCACAAAAAGCACAAAGTTTATTGGCTGCGCGCCTTTGCACCAAACTGGACTCGGTCCTTTTATTTTTTCTTGTTGTTTCCAATTTGTGCGGGTCTGCTGCTGTCAGGTTGTAATTGATGCATCCCTCCCTGCAGCCTGTGTCTCGTGCACGCTAAATAAATGAGCAGGATTACCAGTAAACCGTGCGTGATGGTGCACCTCTCTGTGTCCCGCTGCACATCCCACATCCAGTGATGGACCATCTGGCTCCCACTTCAGACGCTGTTGCAGTTAGTTGAAGTTGAAACTACCTAAATGGGTAGTTCACATGTTTTTAATTGGGGGGGTTATATGAACATTAAATGGGAACAGCTCCTGCCTTCTGGTTGCACTGGTGTAATTTCTGAGTACCAAGGAGGCAGGGGGCTGAAGCCAACCCACCCCCGGGTCATATTTGTGCTGCGAAACGAGCAGTTGATACGGTCAACATGTGAAAAAGTAACGTGATGACGACTGGTCGGTGTGACAACCTGACTGCAGGATTAAATGACAACAGATTTATTACAGAGGGAAGACGACAACTTTGTAATTAGTTTTAAAAATATAGTTACCCACAAAAAGAATGGCTAAAGTAAGGCAATGTGTTGAACGCAGTACGAGGGAGATGTCTGTGATTGTGCTGCGCTCCACATCAACCCAGCTGAGTTCTGCTCCGCACCTCTTGTGGTTCGATGCTCACTTCATGAACGTGCGGTGCGGGATGTGGTCGGCTCCATCGGTGATTTATGAACGGCCAGAGGCAGCGTAAAGACGGACTCGTCTTTTTGGCCATTTTGTTCCAATGTTTTGTGAAAGAATATCTTACCTGTTGAATGATGAGCTAATGCAGCGGTTGGCAACTTTCTCTGCCATCAGGTTGTAATTCTGCCAAATAACTTTCATAATTAAAATACAAGGATTTTCATTAACTGCCTAAGAGTAAACATATCTGAAATGAGAAATGAAACATTTGTGAAATATTCAGGAAGAAATCTCCTAAATCTCTCACAAACTCTGTTTCCCAGGTTCCCTTGCTAACTCGCGTTCCCGTGGCTACAGAAGTGAGAACCCTCTAGCTTTCAAAATAAAAGTGCTGCAAAGGCTTTTTAAAAAAAAGCAGTGATTTGAACTTTGCAAGCAGAATGATTTAAACGTGACATTTTTGCAGGCTGGACAGAAGCAGTTAATGATGCTAATGTTTGAGTTAAAAGCTATAGGACCAGTTCTGAAACAGGATTCTTTAATCTCGACCATTTCATCCATTATCATGACCCACTTCTTCCTTTTCGGGTCGCGGGGTACTGATCCCCATAGGAGTCACTGTGTGAGAGGCAGGTTACACCCTGGTCAAGTGTCCAGTCCATCACAGGGCCACATAGAGACAAACAAGACAAACATTCACTCTCTCACCTATAGATGATTTAAAGTTATTAAGCAATTCATGCAAATGCTATTTTACAAACCTTTACACTGCTGTCAACTTCAGATCACATATTTATTCTGGCAGAAGTATTATGATCTATTATGAGCATCTCTGTGGTGGGACTGGAGCAGATGAAACTCTCCAAACACAGCACTATCTACAACAGGTAAGATATTAACTGTTCACACAACAGAACTCCTCTTCAAAAGATCTGAACTACTGTCTGGTCAAAAAGCAGACTTTGATTTGGTTTCTCTAAAAGGGCCCACCATGCTCTTTTTCCTACAAGTTACTATATTACTTCACCTTTTGCTGTTGGGTTAATACATCGCTGCAGAATGAAACGGGTGCGGAGCAGAATGAGGGGAATCAAACAAAACAAATGCAGCTCATCTGCATCATCATTCGATGCAGCAAAGCATACCTCGTTCACATCATGTCTGTTGGCAAAGTGCTGATGTTTCACTTCCTTTGCCACAGCTGCATGTGGAGGCACACGGACGAGCAGGACCTGCATGTAAAACAGACGTGAGAGCAGTCGCGAGGCTTGTTCCAGCACCTCGGACAGAAACCAAGCAGCACAGAGGACAGTAAATCTTCTGGCGAGTCCCTCAGCAGCCAGAGAGGCTAAACTGCACAATAATAGGCCTCAGTGTGTACACTCCGTGTTTGTTTTTCCTCGCTCCATATCCCCGTCTCCTCTGTTCTCTTGTTGGTGCTTCTATTTATTCTTGCCTTTTGAACTGCATCTCTATCGTGCAGCATGTTAAGTTGAAATAAGCGAAGTGCTGATGCTGATTTGAAACAGATGTTGTAGTCTGACCAACAAGGACTTGGATCATTCCTGAGTTGTTAGACTCCAGGAGGTGTACAGTAGAGGTGGAGCAAGAGGAGAGTGTTTGAAAAGTCTCCAGGGTCGTCCTCGCTCCTCATGAGGAAATGATGTGGGCTCTGCTCCGCTGCTGCACGCGACAAACCTCCGTCGTTTTTGTCCTGAAGAAAATCCATTAATGTGCATTCAGCTGTGGAGAAAAAGGTTTACCCTTTAATTAGAAAAAAATCTAGGAGATGATTGTTTTCTTTTTGCAAATTTTTTTTTTTCAGATGGTAAAAGAAAAGTAAAATATAACCGTTCTGCTCAGAGCAAACATAAAAAAAAAGACTTGTAGGAAAATAAATCCATCAGTGAGCGTTGAAATGGATGTTGACATTTAATCAGCCTCATAAATAAAATTGAATATCTGCATTACCATAGCACCTTAATAAGAGCAAATATGATAAGTTACATTGTCAGCGCAAGATGAAGTGTTTTAGCATTGCACAAAGATCAAGTGTATAATTTTGTTAAGTTAAAAGATTTGTCAGGCCTCTAGTTAAACTCTGCATATAAATATATTTTCAAACAGTGTGCAGGTCAAAGTAGAGCTGATCATGTTTGTTGTCTGATATTAACTAGTTTAATTCAAACTCCCTTCGGGTGACGTATTTATTTGTCTCGGATGATAAGTTGACTTTTTTTTTTTTTTTCACAAAATGATTTTGTATATTTGAAAACTCCTAAAAGCAGCAGTGGAGAATGATTAAAGTTTGATCCACTTCTGATTTGTTTTACTGCATCAATGATGTTTATTATTATTATAATACACTTTTATACACTTTCTGCTCTAAAATATTCAGGACCAGAAAAAAAAACCTGTTAAAATCATTCATTTTCATTTCGATGACTAGAAATGCACCGACTGCTTTCTCTTTCCGGCACTAGTAATCTGCAAATAATAGACTCCAAGTTATTGGACAGAGAGATTTGCACAAATAAAACCCCATTTGAGCAAAAACTCCAGTGAAACTGTTTCATGAGTCAGATTTTAGCACCACAATCTTTTTCTATTTTGCACTTTTCAAAGAATAAAGTGCTCCATGTTATGGGACAATTGTTGTTTTTGAGTAACGTGAAGTGCTATGTGTTGTTATCATTGTATGTTTCCATACAATGATGAAATTAGTTCTCTGCATTTAACCCATCACATGTGAGATACACCCAGGTGGAGCAGTGGGCAGCTATGTGGGTGCCCAGCGAGCACATGGGGATTGGGTGTCTTGCTTGGGGACACCCCCATGTGAGCGCGACAACTTGGAAAAATAAGCGAGTTACCGACGTCCATGTTGATGTGTGGCTCCATCTTGTAGGAAAGGTTCTTTTTGAAAATTGGGTTGCCACGCCGACCTGTCCGGGATTTGCCCCGCCTCTCGCGCAGTGACTGCTGGATGTGGACACCGGTGACCCCCCCACGACCTGAAGGGGAAGAAGCGAGTAAAGATAATGGATGGATGGGTTGCCACATGAAAATCCAAGATGGCCACCACCGTATAAAGTAGCCCCTCGATTATCGCGGAGGTTACGTTCAAGACACCACCGCAATTGGTGAAAAACCGTGAAGTGGGAATGCTATATTTATTTTAGTATTATAAATATTTTAAGGCTTTATAAACCATTCCCACACTCTTGCAATGTTCTAAACTCTTAAATCTACATAATTTTAACAACATATGTATATGTACTGTACAGTACTGCAAAATTTTATATGGGTACTCACCAGCTCTGCAGACCAGCAGCTTGGTCCCAGTCGGGTTCGGTTCTGGTTCAGCAGACTTACCCTGCAGCGATGAAGCCCACCAGGTTGATGTGTGTGTGGATAATTGAGCTTCAGGATTATTTGTGACTTTCCTGCCATTTTTGTGAGCTTAATAGATGTTACTTCTGACTTTGCATTGCAAAACTTTCCCTCCATTTTGGCAGAAAGCAGTGGTGCTGTTGACTTCTGGGTAGTGTAGTTCTTTTGACTTGCGTTACAGTATAGGCTTATTGAAAGAAAACTACAAAATGGTGGCGCCTGTCCAAATAATTTCTTTTTGTTAACTTTTTATCCCGTACTGTCCCAATCACATGACCAATATTAAAGTTGACAATCGTGTGTCGTGTACAATCTTACATTGAAAAACTGCGAAAGAGCGAGTCTGCGAAAGTTGAACCACAAAGTAACGAGGGACTACTGTACATGTATAATCCGATCACTCATATAATTTCAGGAAATGAGGAAACCATTGCTTCAGGTTTTTAAATTACTTAAAAGTATAGTTCCCTCAAATGATTGGGGTGGTCAAAGATCAATTTTTGGTGGCCAAGGCCACCACTGGCCACCCTTTGGCGCCGCCATTGCATCTGGTGTTGGATAGCTTTGCTCGCCAGGATCCATCACTCTGCGCCTCCTCAGTGAAGAAAAGAAAATATCTCTGTTCTTATACACAATCTAAAACCTTCCCACTGCCATGTTTACTGGAAATATTTTTGCACCAAAAACATTAAGGTTTACTTACATTCCATGTCCAATTCTAGTCCAGAAAAACACTCATCTTGAAAAATACCAACATTCACTATTCAAATCTTTAGCGACAGGGCACGTCGACGTACCGCTTGTTAAACCTGTTGCAGATTTTGTAGCTAACTTTCTTTTAGTAAAAGCATCCACACCAAAGATACTACGAGGCGTTTAA